ATAGTTGTATTATTCGTTATATTATATTATAGTTTTTTCATTTTGTACTGTTACTTCCTTTCATCGACCAAATCTCTCATTCTATTGAGATATTTCTTGTCCGCGTTATGTAATAGCCATTGATTAACTAAATTTATTAAAAAATGAGATAAAACTAATTTGATGTACGTCAATCAAACTGGCAATATATTTATTCGTTTATTTACAACGTTTCGGCTCCATTTCGAGTCCTTCTCAAACAAACTGAAACCATGGGATATTAGCATGTAATTAAAATAATAAACCAAAGATAAAAAAACCAGCACACTAGTTGAACAATTAAAGTGGGTATACCTTAGCCTTAGATAGAATCAAATTACTTATTAGCGCGAACATGAAGTATCACGTAAGATGTGGCAGCATTTCACGAAACTGTAGGTGTAAAGTGTGGTAATAAATTAAAAGAAAAAGTGTATATAATAACAGTAATTAACATTAAATAAATAAATGGATAAAAAATGAATAAATTAAAAGCAAGTTAAGTTAGGTTAAATGTAGTCGAATCTGGTGAACTTACAAGTTGCCGCAGTCAATTTTTGTGAAAATCATGATCGATTATTAAAACAAAGCTTGTCTCTAGGGACATGTCCTCAACAGATCGTTAGTCGTTAGTCGTCGACGCTCGTCTGTTGAGGACATGTCTCTAGAGACAAGCTTTGTTTTAATAATCGACCATGATTTTCACAAAAATTGACTGCGGCAACTTTTTCGTGAAATACTGCCACATCTTACGCGATACTTCATGTTCCCGCTAATAAGTAATTTGATTCTATCTAAGTTTGCTTGGGAAGGGCTCGAAATGGAGCCGAAACGTTGTAAATAAACGAATAAATATATTGCCAGTTTGGTTTACGTACATCAAGTTAGTTTTATCTCATTTTTTAAATTTCGCTGGCGACAAGAAGGAAGACTTTTATTGTAAATTTATTAAGATGTTGTAAAATGAGAAGATAGACTTGAAGAATGTTAATAATTCATTTTCCTATTGTAAGTGAGAAGGGAGAACTTGCCTCCCTTGTACAGTTCGGTTGCATGGGAGACTTGAATAAGTCGGAGGGGTCGAAGGTAGACTTATGCGAGAGAGATGTTCATTACGAATGTATGATAATGATTGTATTTATTTTAGCGAATCAGAGATAGTTATATAATTTAAAGTAGGGCTCGCTATTATACGTTTAAACGGAAACACGTTTATACGTATAATTAGCTATCCGTTTATT